ATAAGGGGGAGATTGAGATAAAACAGGACATAACAATATAACAATAGAGGTCACAGCATGACTGTTTCAATAACCTAGTACTTCACCACCTTATAACCTGACTTAATAGTAGTTACCATAGTGTCTTTTTCCTTGAAATATTTGGGTAAAACTTCATATACTCTAGCTTCAAATATTTTCATATCAAGAAGCCCAGAATAAAGCCTTTCTAATTAATGAGTGAAAACTTTATAAGGCTTCAAGGCCACATAATGGGGAATCATGATTACCACATATTTTTATATGTTTGAATCATTACTTACATTAGGGAAACTATTCGGTATTCACACATGCGAGATTGATTTATTTCACTTATGAGTATGGTCTCAAGCTGTGCCCATTTATTGATAAATATCTCAATGTGATCCTTCTTTATAGCTGAATAATACTCCATTGTATAGAAATACCACAACTTTTTTATCCATTCCTCAGTTGATGGGCACTTGGGTTGTTTCCAAGATCTGGCGATTACAAATTGTGCTGCTATAAACATAGGTTCACATATATCCCTGTGGTATGATGCTTTCAGTTCTTCTGGGAATATGCCTAGAAGTGGAATAGCTGGAATAAATGGGATTTCCAGTCCCAACTTTTTGAGAAATCTCCAGACAGATCTCCACAAAGGCTGTACCAGTCTACACTCCCACCAGCAGTGCAGGAGAGTTCCTTTTTCCCCACAGCCTCTCCAGCATTTGTTGTCGGTTTTCTTGATCCTGGCCATTCTTTCAGGAGTGAGATGGTATCTCAGTGTGGTTTTAATTATGCATTAGTCTTAATATGTGTTTCTATCCTTTCTATATTAGAGAGAGAAACAAAACAAAGCAGCACAGGAAAAAAAACATATTCCTATAGACACATAAAATGAAAGACATAGTAAACCACTGTACAGTAGTTCTACCGTGATTCCTGTGCTGTGTCTTGTTATCTTTGATAGAATTGGCTATATCACCAGATATAATATAATTGGATATATAAGTACATAACAGTGTTAGTAGAACCACAACTTTGTAGATTGAGTAAAACTACAAACCTGGTAGTAAACAAACCAGAATGGGTATCAGAGTGAATCTTGTCATTTTCAGTGTACCTGCCTATACTCTCCGACTTGATGCTATCAATCATAGCAGTTTTTAATAAAATCTGTTGAAAATAGATAGTAATCAAACAAACCAGATTTAACTAGGAGCAGTCATGATAAAACAGTGTAAGTTATACAGGGCTCCAGATTAAGTTAATAGGAAGTTAAAGTTAACAGTTGTGCTATATCCTGATACTTTGGGGATAGCTGTCTGTGCCCTCAGATCTAGTGCTTGTAGACAAAGTGGGACAGAATAAGTTCTATCTAAGCAGAGTGGTGTGAGTAATATGGGCTTAATTTCTGATACACTATTAACAACATCTTCTGCTGTCTTTTTAAAAACCATTCCTCTCCTTTCACTCCCCCAGGGTGTACTGTGCATTTTTGGATCTCACCAACATCCTCTATTTTAAATTCCGGGGGGGGGGGCAACCTGCTATTTACCTAAGTGGTTCCAAATGTTCTCTCTCCTAAACTTATCTCTGGTTGCATTCCTTTACCTATTAAAGCCTGCCTTTTCAAACTATCCACAAATACTGGTCTAGTTACCCCTATTACTCCCTTGTTCCCTGTCACATAGAGCATTGTTTACTCATATTTGATATTTGGTCCATATATCATTTTTACGTTAATTATATACCCTATAAAGAGCATCTCGGTGGACCCTACCTACTAATCTACTCTGCCTGTGATTTTCTCTTTATTCTTCTTTTTTTAATTTAGTGTATCAAGGCCAACTATCTTAGAGATTATAGACAACTTTCTCTGCCTCATTTCTGTAATGCTTTCTTTCTGTCATTAGTTGTCTGTCTTCTTCATTTTTCTTTCTGCTCCATTCATTGAGGACTCTCTGCCACTGTTCCTGGAAATCCGGTACTTTTCTCTCTCTCTAGAATGCCCTGTAGTAGTCTTTGTAGAATTGAATTTGTGGTTGTGAATTCCCTCAGGTCCTCTTTGTCTTGGAAGCATCTTGTTCCTCCATTAATTTCTAGAGACAATATTTCAGGGTAAATAAATCTGGTTTGGAGGTTATTTTCTCTCAGGGCTTGAAATACTTTGTTCCAATATCTTCTTGATTTGATTATTTTTGTTAAAAAGTCTGCTGTAAGCATGATGGGCTTTCCCTTATAAGTAATCTGTTTCTTGTCTCTGACAGCTTGTAATATTCTATTCTTATATTGGATTTTGGGGATCATGATTATTATATGCCTGGGTGTACCTCTGTTTTGGTTGTAGGTAAATGGAGTTCTATATGTCTCATACATCTGAATATCTTTTCCTTTTCCTATGTTTGGGAAGTTTTCCTTAATTATTTCTGTGAATAGACCTTGTAGTTCCTTTGTTTGTACCACTGCTTCTTCAGTCACATTCTTTATTCTTAAGTTATAGATCCTCTTGTCATCTTCTAGCCTTTGTATTTTTACTGCTTGTGTCATTGTTGTTTTTACGAAATTCTTCCTTTCATGCTCCCACATTGCAAACCTTTCCTTAAGTTTAGATAATCTATTCGTTAGTATAATCTATAAACTAGTATAGTTTAGATAATCTATTTAGATAATCTATTCTATATAGAACTCCATTTACCTTTCAAGCAGTTTTGCCAGCTTTCAATGGAGTTTTTGATTTCCTGGTAATCTCCTTAAACCTGTTTCATGTATTCTACATTTTCTCTATTTTCTCCATCAAACAATTCCCCCCCCTTTTTGTTCTTCCATTCTTCCATCAGTTTTTTTTTCTTGGGAGGTGCTTAACATTTCTTTTACTATTCTACTTATATCTTGCTTTACTTGGTTAAATACTTCACTATGAGGTCCCAAAGATATCATTTTATGTCTATTGGTGCCTTGTCTGATACTGCATATTTCCTGTCCTCATTCTCCTTTGCATTTAACTTTCCTAGATCAATGTTCTCAGGATTGGAGACTGAGGACAATTTCGTGTTGCTCCCTCTTCCCATACTTTTTGTTCTTTCCATACAAGTGTATAAAAGAGGCCCAGTTTGTTTCTTTGTTGGTTACAGATCTTCTGAACCCTGTATGCTGGAAACTCCCCTCCAGGTCAGTCAACCTTCTGAGGTCTTCAATGTGTTAGTGTGCACTGTGAGGTGTGGGGAATTGGTTTGGGATAGCTTATATGGTTTCAGGTAGGGGCATGGCCCATGCCAAGCTATGAGGGGATTGATTCTGGTGTCACAAAATGATACCATGTGTCTCTAATCAGATATAAAATTTCACACTCAGACTCAGTCCTTTGAACCTAACAATCTGGTTTATTACACAAAAAATGCCTTTACATTTCTAATGTTCTGTATATGAATTATAAGGTCACAGTTATAACTAGTTTTTCTTCTTCCTGACCTAGCTTTGGTACTTCATACGCTTCTAGAAATCTATTTCTTCTGTGTTATCTATCCTTTGAGAGTAGAGGTTTTTGATATAGGTGTTGATGATCTTCTTTATTTCTATTGGGTCTGTAGTGATTTCACCTTTTTCATTCCTTATTGCATGAATTTGAGCTTTTTCTCCCCTTCTTTAAATAAGGTTGGCTAGGGGCTTATCGATTTTATTTAGTCTTTCAAAGAACCAACTCTTTAATTCATTTATTCTTTGGATTGTTTTCTTAGTCTCTATTGCATTGATTTCTGCTCTGATTGTTATAATTTTGTCTCATTTTTTTGCTTGGGGCTTGACTTGCTCTTCTTTTTCTAGCTGTTTGAGGTGTAGCATCAAGTTATTTATTTGTATTTGTTCTGTTTTCCTGATGTGGGAACTCAGTGCAATGAATTCCCCTCTGAGTACAGCTTTCATTGCACCCCACAGATTCTGGTAAGTTGTATTTGTGTTTTCATTTGTTTGTATGTATTGTTTAATTTCCTCTTTAATTTCCTCTGTGACCCACTGATTCCTCAAGAGTGTGTTATTCAGTTTCCATGTGTTTATGGGATTTTTGCACTATCTTTTATCATTAATTACTAATTTCATAGCGCTATGATCTGATAACATGCAGGGGATGCTTTCAACTCTTTTGCATTTCTGTAAATATGTTCTATGAGTTTATATATGGTCTATTTTAGAGAATTACCCATGTACTGCTTAGAAAAATGTGTATTCTGTTGTTGTTGTTGGGTGGAATACTCTGTATATGTCTATCAATTGCATTTGTTCACAGGTGTGATTTAGTTCTTTTATCTCTTTGCTGATTTTCTGTCCTGTTGATCTGTCCATTGGTGTCAATGGTGTGTTAAAATCTCCTGTTATAATTGTATTACTGCTAATTTGGTTTTTCATTTCTGATTTTACTTCTTTTATATAACTGGGTGCTTTGGAATTTGGTGCATATATATTTAATATAGTTATCTCTTCCTCTTGAAGTTTTCCTGTAACCAGTATGTAGTGACCTGCTTTGTCTCTTCTGATCATTATTGGTTTGAAGTTCACATTGTCTGCAAACAGAATAGCTGCCTCCACTTTTTTTGTGTTCCTGTTGCATGAAGTATTGTTTTCCATCCTTTGACTTTCAGTCTGTGAGTATCCTTTTGGGTTAGATGGGTTTCTTGTAGACAGCATATGGTTGGATTTTGTTTCTTGATCCATTCTGCCAGTCTACTTCTTTTAATTAGTGCATTGAGACCATTTATGTTAATGGTTATAAGTGTTATATATTGGTTTATTAGTGACATGTTATATTTCTGCTGTTGCATCTTTATCTTTCTGTTCTATTTAATTGTCTGCTTTGTTAAGTGGTTTTTTCTTAAGTGTATCTAGACTGTCTTTCAGTATTCTTTGCAGGATTGGCTTGGTGATCATGAATTTCTTAAGCTGTTCATTGTCTTGGAAGTATCTTATTTCTCCATCAATTTTGAAGGACAGTTTTGAGGGTACATCAGTCTAGGTTGGAAACCATTTTCCTTTAGGGTCTGAAATACTTCACTCCATGCTCTTCTTGCCTTTATTGTTTGTGTTGAGAAGTCTGCTGTGATTCTGATAGGTTTTCCTTTATATGTGATCTGTCTTTTATCTCTGACAGCTTTTAATATTCTATTCTTTTGTTCAATTTCTGGAATGGTGATTATTATATGTCTGGGTGTAGTTTTATTTTGTTTAGGGCTATTTGGAGTTCTATATGCCTCATTGGTCCTGATATCAGTTTCCAATTTCATGTTTGGGAAGTTTTCAGCTATTACTTCTCTAAATATCCTCTTGATATCCTTTGCATTGTCTCCTTCTTTTTCATTTATCCCTATCAACCTGATATTGTTTTTCTTTGCGTCATCTTGCAGGTGTTGTATTGTTATTTCTTGATTTCTTGTTATTTTTAAAAGATCTTTCCTTTCCTGTTCACTGGCTGCAATCTTGTCTTCAAGGTCCAAAATTCTACCTTCGCATTCATTCAGGTGGTTTTTACAACTTTCAATGCTTTTGATTTCCTGTATATCTCTTTGCATCTGTTTTATATATTCTGTTTGTTTCTTATAGTGTTCATCCAGAGATTATATCCTTTTGTTTAGTTCCTCCAATTTTTTAGCTGTGTTTTCTTTAGATATGTTCAGCATCTCCTTCATTTCTTTTATTATTTCTTCTTTTACCTGATATATTATTTCTAGTTTGAATTCCTTCAAAGCTTCCCAGAGCTGCTTCTTTATTTCTGTTACTATTGTTTCAGGTATTTCAGGTATATGGCATGTATTTTATTCTATGTACATGGCTCCTAGGCTTTCTTGGAGGGATGGGTTGGGTGTTTGAGATTGCATTTTGGTCTTTCATTTTGTCATTTTCCTATATTAGTGTGTTTCAAGTGTTGTTTCAGAGTTTCCCCTGGTTGTGTTGTAAATTGACTCTTATGTCCTGTGCTCTTGGGACTCCTCTTGCAGTAGCTCCCTCCTTGGGCAGCGGAGCCCCTGGATTAAAAGAGACTTGCCAGGCTCCTCTCAGGTAAACCTAAATCTTCCTCAATTTGCATAGTTTCAGGGTTGGACTGGAGTTGCCTCGGCTCAGCTGGATGTGCACCTTCTGGTCCCCAGCGGTGGCGGTATGGGACCTGGTTGGGATAGGTGGCAGCAGGGCCAGCCTCCGCTCAACTGGATGCACACCTTCCAGTCCCCAGTAGTCATAGTATGGGCTCCGGGTGGGTGAGGTGGCAGCAGGGCTGGCCTCTGCTTGGCTGGACACTCACCTTCTGGTCCCCAGTGGTGGTAGTTGGGACGTGGGTGGGAGAGGCGGCAGCAGGGCCGGCCTCTGCTCAGCTAGATGCACATTTCAGAGATTTCTAGTGTGTGATTTCCAAGTTCATCCATGTCTTTGTCTCCTGGATTTGATCTACATGGGCTGGGATTTGAGATTGTGTTTTGATCTTTGGTTTTGGCATTTTTCTGTGTTCCTCTGAATTGGCTGGATACTGAGTCCTAGTTGCTTCCTGTTCTGCTGGATTGTCAGGCTATGGGTCTCACTGAGGGTTGCTATTGGTTCTGGGTCATTGGGAAGTCTTCTCTGAGGATTCTTGGATGACTGTGGACAGCTGGGCAGAGCTTCTCAGTGCCTGTGAGCTTTAGAGGGAGTTCCAAGGTATGGATTGTTCATTGGGTGCAGACATGCTCAACTAGTAGGCCTCACTAAGGGTTCTCAGATGACTGCAAGTCAGGGGACAGAGACTCTCCATCCTGAGAGTTTCGAGATGACTGTGGGTTGCTGGTCATAGACTCTCAGTCCCCATGGGCCTACTAGATGGTTCTAAGTTATGGACAGAGCTTCCTTGTCCCAAGAGTCTCGCTGATAGTTCTCCATTCACTATGGGCTGCTGGGCATAGACTTCCAGTAGGCATGGGCCTCAGAGATGCTCTCTGCATCTGGGAAAGGCTCTGAGTTCAGCTTCCTTGTCCCTTAAAACCTCACCAAGTATTGCTGTTTGACTGTGTATGGGTTGATGGGTACAGACTCCTGGTCCCCTGGGGCTTCAGAGATGGTGTTTGGGTGTGGGCAGGTCACTTGGCACAGATTTCCAATCCCCATGAGTGTTTCTGAGAGCTCATAGATTACTGCAGCAACCTGGGCACAGACTCTTACTCCCCATGAACCTCAGAGATGCTGTCTGTGTGTGGGCAGGTCTCTGCACCTAGCTTACAAGTCCCCAAGATCCTCACTGAGGATTTCTTGATGACTGTTGGTTGCTGGTCCCTGTGGGACTCAGAGATGCTGTCTAAGTCTGCGCAGGGCTCTGGGTACAGCTTCCCAGTTGATGTTAAATATTTTGAAACAATGTGAATGTAATGGAAGTCATGAATACGCATACATAATATGGTTAATATTGTGCATTGCTCGCTATCTGTGTTTACCCCATGAATGACATATAGGCACATGGCTGTTTAAAAATTATACTTAAAGTAACAGAAGTGATTAGTATGTGCTAACTTCACCTGATTAGAAGAAAAACCCCAAAACTCTCATGGACACATTGATTTTTTCTCTCCTTCCTCTATTCTCTTTGAAAATTCCTTAGAGATGGGGATGGCATGGACCAATTTGGCTAATTGTGAGATCTGGGTATTGCGTCTCTAAGGTCATGGAGTAGTCAATAATTGGCTGGTCTCCAGGTCTTTACTATGATGATTACTATCCAGGGAGCTCCACACTTGTGTCACAACCTCCTTGGTTGTCTGCATTGGGAAGCTCCTGTCTGACTTTGTATTATTTTAAATTCTGAGGACTGAGTCTGAAAATTCACTGGCCAACAGACAAAGAAGTGTCATTGGATATGATTTCCTTGGCTGTGACCTAGCACAGAAACAGCATCAACCAGTAAGTACACAGGGATCTTAGTGATATGGGAAGGATTCTGAAAATGTTGTTTTCTTCATCATAAGGACAATTATTCCAGATTTAATTTTTTTTTTTGGTACCAGGAATTGAACTCAGGACCTCACACTTTTCAGGCAGGCACTGTGTCACTGAGCTATACCCCTAGCCAACTATGTCAGTTTAGGTAGTCAGGTACAGAGGAATAAATGTGAAAAATATAAGTTGTAAGGAATGGAACTTTTATGATGGTAGTTGTAGGGAAAGCAGAATTATTATTTCAAACTTGATTTCTACACATCCTGTTTTTAATTTCCATTGTTGTTTCACACATAGCAACAGAAAATGTATCTTTCTGTAATGCTTCTTAACTCTATATGTTTTATGAAGGTAATCATATGGTTGTAGTTATGTTAATGATAACATCATGAACTGATTTTGAGAGCGTGGTGTATTCCAGGGTCTGAGCAATCTGTTCTATGTAGTTTGTTTCATTTCATGTGCTTTATCTTCCTGTAATTATAATTACTCACATTATCATTGCTTATAGAAAATGGAAACCTCTCATTTTAATGGAACCTTTAGTAGGTTCTAAGGTGGAAAAATGATGCACAGGAATTGGACTGTCCTAAACAGATATGGAATTATACAAGAAAAGTCACTGGCAGATTGTCATTCACATCCATTGATTTCTGTGTCACTCCAGACAGGTACTGTTGTTCACCATGTCTTTCTTTTTGGAGGCTTTTGAAAGCTCAAAGAGCAGAGTCATGACCGGCATCTGCTGCAGCCACCACAGAAAAGCCATCATTCTATGCATCTTATTCTCTCCTGCCACCACTGAAGGACATTCTTGTAGCTTCCTATATTCTCCCCATTTCTACTAATTCCTCACAGCCTCGAATGAGGTTAAGGCATGTCAGGATTTCACTTCTCTTTAGAAAATTTGAGAGTCAAATATGAAACTATATTGCACCAGCGATTTAGACTCAGAACCTCTGCTCAAATCTTTCTGTGTTGTGATAAGCAAACATTGTACTGTATTTTACTGAGTCTGTTGGTGTATTTTTTAATTTTTTCTGCACTAAGTATTTTTGACATATAAGCCTTATTGGCCATTTAATTCCATCTGTATAAGACATATAAAAACATAACAGAGGTACTCATTTGTTTGCAAAGGTGAAGAGACAGGAGCAGGTGTATGTATGCTTGTGCTTGAGATGCATGACAAAACATCATATTTTTCAAGTCTGTAATTTTTGGATATAGTTTATTTTATTTATCAGTAAACTTCCAGCTTGTTATTCATGTAATTAGTTTGTAATGAAACAAAAGCTCATAAATAGTGAAGTTCCAAACTTTGTTTAGTTACCACATGTGGAGATACTGTTATTGTCCTTGTTATCCTCTGGCCTTATGGGTGGAGAAAGAAGAGAGACTGACAAACATTCTGAATATTTTAGCAGAGCAGTGATGCAAGACTAACATGTTTATTTCCCCAGGCTCATTTGTGAGGTACCGGATCCACCACTGGAGCAAAATGCAAATGTTATTCTAATCTGATGAGGATGCAACTTTCTGTGTGTTGTCATATAGAGAAAAATACTAGACCAACCTCAGGGATACTTTGAAGGAATAGCTGAAGAACAAAAGGTTGTAAATTATACCATCTCACTCACTGTTTTTAGCAAATAATCTGAAATTTTACATGCTTTACATGTTGGAAATCAGAGAAGTATCACCCACAAATGCACTGTATACAAATTTTCCTGTGACTGGCAAGGAGAAAGGCATAAAAAGTTTCAAAACATTATGTTAATAATAAATTTACAATTAAATGATATTACCTCTCTGATCATGGTGGCAATAGCTGAAGGAGAGATAAAATCACTTTATGTAATCTACTCTATTTTAGGCACAATGATTTTTTTCCTGCACAAGCTAGACGAGTTTTAGATACTCTTTAGGTGGGTTTTAAAAAAAACTACTCTGGGTTCTTAAATCAGTGACAACCCAGAAATACTGAAAGGAAAAATTATCTAGATGCCTATGAGGACAGGAGTGCCAGAAAATGAAATCCTGGAAAGATAGCAAGAATCCAAATTTCTTAGGTGACTGTTCGGATCTAAAAAACATTGGAGCTGATGTAAATGCTAACAAATAGATATAAACGCGAGGGGCTGGGGATTTAGCTCAGCGGCATAAGCGCCTGCCTTGCAAGCAGGCAGTCGTGAGTTCGATCCCTGGTGCCGATAAAAACGAAAAAGACCAAAAAAAAAAAAAAAAAGATATAAATGCAAATGTATCTGTAGAGATATTAATGGAATATTTCTAAATACTAAAATATATTTAAGACAGTGATTCTCAACTCTAGTGTAAGAGAATAACACAAGTACCTGAAATGTAGATTTCAGATTAAATTTCATGGCCTGAGGCTGCAGTATGTGGATATTTTAAAATTTATCTGGATGAATATATTAGATGCATGATTGATGAAACCTGAATTATTTTGAATTTTTTTTTTACTTCAACCATATAAAGTAAATACTTTTTCTGTTATTCCAGAAGGGGGATTACATTATTTACAGATGTGCTTACCCTGTTTTATATGCCTTGATGATTGCAGATGAGTTTCCAAATATGCTTACGTTGTTTCATGTACTTTTATCTTTTGTGTTTTTCCCATTTTAATCACAGTACAGTTTGACAAAAATATGAATACAAGATTCCTTCATATATCTGAAAGAAGAGAAATGAAAGACTTATATCCGGAAGGATTCCTGGGAAAATCTGTCAGCCAGAATTAAGAAACATGATATTCTGCCAGGTTTTCTTTATTTTTCATGTCTCCCATTGCACATAGCAGGGTTTATATCCGCAAAAACTAGTAAGGCACATTACCACAACACTATTGAATACTGAATCAGTAAACAGAACAGAGAGATTTGAAATTAGCAAATATCTTCTTGGCATTGAATTATAGCCAAATCTCTTTAAAAAAGAATTCATCAAATGTGATTTTCATCATTATTGTTTAATCTCTGGAGAGTACAGTGTGGATAATGCTGCATTTGTGGTCATCACGACCTAAAATTATGCGCACCTCTTTTCACCTCATTAATACAGATGAAATTTCATTAGAGACAACAAGAAGAGATATATGTTAAATAAACTATGCATACACAAAGAGTGATTGAGCACTTATCTCACTGAAGCACAGAAATCAGAAAATCTAAGAAGGATGAAAATTTATGGCAAGTAACTAGCTGAATACAGTGTATTCTGACTCTGACCAAATTTACTAATTAACTTATAGATATTGCAGTACTCGTGTTTGCAATATTTCCAACACCTGAAGATAAGAGACATTGTATTTTCTGAGATTAAAGTAACATACAGTTGAATGCATTTTATTTTCTTTCAATAGAAAAATATTTTTAAAGAGAGATGGGTTATGATGGGTTAACATTCTTTCAATTGTTTTTCAAGAAATTATTTGTCTCATAGATTTCTGAAGCCTACTGATCTTGGTCTCCTAACATTATGCTGTAGAGCATCTGTAAAGTAGGACTCTATGGAAGACTTTGGAAAACAAGCCACCCAGTAATGAAAGATGTTATGACAGTCAAGGTTGTTGCAATAGAAGCAATTTCTGAAGATTTCTGCCTTAATATAGGCATAATTTCATTGGGGATATTTGTATACATAATATATGCAGATTTTTGTGTGATTTCACTTTTCTAATGAATTTCCTTTCTGAACAATTGTTAAAGCATTATCAAAATGCACAATCTAACATATGTCTCAGAATTCCATCTCATGTGCTTCTCAGATGACCCAGAACTGCAGTTGGTCCACTTTGGCCTGTTCCTGTCCATGTACCTGGTCACCGTTCTGGGAAACTTGCTCCTCATCCTGGCCGTCAGCTCTGACCCCCACCTGCACACCCCCATGTACTTCTTTCTCTCCAGCCTGTCCTTGGTTGACATCTGCTTCACCTCCACCACGGTCCCTAAGATGATTTCGGGCATCCTAACTCACAGCAGAGTCATCTCCTATGTGGGCTGCCTGACACAGATGTCTCTGTTTATGCTTTTTGCCTGTATGGATGACATGCTCTTGACTGTGATGGCCTATGACCGCTTTGTGGCCATCTGCCACCCCCTGCATTATGCTGTAACTGTGAGCGCACACCGCTGTGCCTTATTACTTTTGGCATCTGTCTTTCTTAGCCTTGTGGAGTCCCAGCTGCATAATTCAATTGTTTCACTGTCTACCTGCTTCAAGCATATGGAAATTGCTAATTTCTTCTGTGACCCTTCTCAACTGCTCAACCTTTCATGTTCTGATCCTCTACTGAAAACCATAGTCACACATATTGGTGGTGTCATCTTTGGCTTTTTTCCCATCTTGGGGATCTTTTTCTCTTACTATAAAATTATTTCCTCTGTTCTAAAAATACCATCATCCGAGGGGAGGTACAAAGCCTTTTCTACCTGCAGCTCTCATCTCTCAGCTGTTTGCTTGTTTTATGGAACAGGCCTTGGGACATACCTTGGTTCAGATGTGTCCTATTCTTCCAGAAAGGGTATGGTGGCCTCCCTGATGTACACTGTGGTCACCCCTATGCTGAATCCCTTCATCTACAGCCTGAGGAACAGGGACATCACTTGCACTCTGAAGAGGTTTCTCAGCTGTAGAGTGTAATCCCAAGGTGTTTGTGATCCATTTGAAATGTAGATTTGAAAATTTTGTGAAATTATGCACCCCAACTCATATTTAAATACATTAATTTTTCTTGGTTATGTTATTTCAATTCTTTGAGTCTTTATTATGTTTCATATTAGAAGAACAACTAGTTGGAGAAGATAGAATCCATATGGATGCGAAGTTTCATTTTGGAAGTTGAAAAAATTTTAGAGATGGATAAAGAGAATTGCTTGTGCAAAAATGATACGAATGCATGCTTGAAAATTCTAAAAATGATGTATTTAGTTTTGTGTACCAAACTACATTGAAGGATACAATGCTGAGGATGTATTTTATTTTAAAGTTAAAAAAGTAAAACAAAATTTCAAAACATGATAATTAGAGGTTAACAGTGGTTAATATATTTTGGATTGTTGTCTTTAAACTACTCAGAGTACAAGATAACTGCAATTACTCTTTCAAAGAATATTAGCAGAAAGCTTTGTTTTCAATGACTTAGACATTTTTAATATAACTATTTTAATTATCATATATATATATATATATATATATATCCTATGTATCCAACTATTTCTTTGAGCTTCTCATTCTAGGGAGACAATATGATGCCATGTGATTTATTTCTCTTTTCAGTATGGTCTCAAGTTGCATCCATTTATCTATAAAAGTGTGAAGTTTATGCTTTATATGACAGAGTAACACTCGATTGTATAATACCACATCTTTTTATCCATTGTTTGGTTGATGGGCATTTAGTTTGTGTCCAAGATCTGGCTATTACAAATTGTGCAGCTCTACACATGGGTGAACATGTTTCACTGTGGTGTGATGTTTATAATTCTTTGGGGAAGTATCCAAAAGTGAAATAGCTGGGTCAAACAGAACCCCCATTCCTGATGTTTGAGGAATCTCCACATTGATTTCCAGAATGGTTATATCAGTCTGGACTAGCTCCAACAGTAGAAAAGTATTACTCTTTTCCCACACCCCCTCTAGCATTTGTTATTGGTTAATTTCGTGATAAGAGATGTTGTGTCTGGGGTGAGATGGAAGACCATTTCTGTTTTAGTTTTTATCTCTCAAATAATCAGTGATGGTGAACTTTTTTCATATATTTATTTATTATTCATCTGAGAAGTGTATGTTTATCTTGGATGCTCATTTTTCTATTGGGTCTTTAAATTTGGGGGGATCTTATTTTTTGCACTCTTTATACATTCTTGATAATAACTCTTTTCTGAAGAACAGCTGGAAAACATTTTCCCACAATATAGGCTGTCTTTTCACTCTGCTGTCTGTTTATCTTGCTGAGCAAAAGATTTTTTATAAAATGAGGTCCCAGGTGTTGTTTTTTTGTGATAGTTCCAGTGTGATCAGGGTTTTATTCATAAAGCCCTTGGCTTCTCCAATATTTTCAAGAGTTTGATCTATTCTATCATTCAGCAGATTTAAGGTTTCTAATTTAATATTTAGATCATTGATCCATTCCAATTTTATTTTAGTGCATGGGAAAGACATGTGCCCAATTTTAATGTTCAGCATACACAAGCCAAATTGTCCAGCAACATTTATTAAAGAGGCTATCTTTCTTCTAGTGAATGTGATGGGCATCTTTGTGAAAGATAAGGTGGCTTATTATGTAGGGAGTTGTTTCTATATCCTCTAATATATTCCATTGTTCTTTGGGTCTTTATTTCCAGCACTGTGCTGATTTTATCACAACAGCTTTGTAATATAATTTCAAGTCAGGGATTGTGATGTTTCCTGTCTTAGCTTTGTTGACCAGGTTGCCCTTGCTATTCTAGGTCTCTTCTGTTTTCAGATTAAGTTTAGGATTGATTTCTCTAGATCTATGACGTATGCTACTGGTATTTTGATTGGACTTTCATTAACTCTATATAACAATTTTAGCAGAATGGTAATTTTCAAAATGTTTGCTTTTTCAATCCATGAACAGGGAATATCTTTCCATTTTCTGAAATTCTCTTCAATTTCCTTTTTCAGAGTAATGTAATTTTCACTGTATAGATCTTGTATTTCTTTTCTTAGATTGATTCCTAAATATTTTAATTTTGTGGTGCTACTGTGAAGGATGTGGTTTCTCTTATTTCTCTCTCCATGAGTTTGCTTTTGTGTAGAGGAATGTTATTGATTTTTGAGTGTTGACTTTATATCTAGCTACGTTACTGAAATTGGTTATCACATCTAGCAGTCTTTCAATGGACTTTTGGGGTTCATCTATGTATAGTATCATCTGCAAATAACAGTAATTTAACTTCTTCCTTTCCTATCCTTATACCTTTTATTTCTCTTTCTTGTCTAATTGATCTGGGTAATATTTCCAGCACTCTGTTTTATAGTAGTGGTGAGAACAGACATGTCTTGTTCCTGATTTGAGATTGAAAGTTTTCAGTTTTTTCCTTTTAGTAAGATGTTGCCTGTTCACTTATCATTTATGGTTCTTATCAGATTTGATAGAGACCATGTATTCTGATTTTCTGTAGGGTATTTTTTTTATCATGAATGAGTGTTGGATTTTGTTGAAAGCTTTTTCTGCAAATATTGAGATGACCATGTAATTCTTGTCTTTTGCCTTTTTGACATGGTATATTATATTTATTGATTTGTATCTCTGCATTTCTGGGATGAGTTTCACTTTTCCATGGTTTATAATCTTCCTGATGACTTGTTGCACTCTGTTTGGCAGTATTTTATTGAAGATTTTTTATTTATGTTCATTGTGGAGATTTGCCTGTAGTTTTCTTTTTCTTTCTTTCTTTCTTTTTTTTTTTTTTTGTTGTTGTTGTTGGGTCTTTCTCTTGTTTTGGTATTAAGGTAATACTTGCTTCCAGGAATAAATTAGAGAGAATTGCTTTCCTTTCAATTTCATTGAAGAGTTTGAGGAATGTTTGGAATTAAGTCTTCTCTAAATGTCTAGTAGAATTCAGCTGTGAATCCATCAGGAGCTCGCTTCCCTTTTTTGGTAGTGTTATAATTGTATTTTCAGTTTCATTAACTAAAATTGGGTTATTCAGCAGCTTTACATTTTCTTCATTCAGCTTTGCTAATTCATATGTTTCTAGGAATCTGATCATTTATTTTGTGTTATTGAACCTATGAGAGCAAAAGTTTCAATGTAGGTATTGATGAACTTCTGCATTTCTGCAAGGTCTGTAGTAATTTTACCTTTTTCATTTCATTGCATGGCTTTGAGACTTTTCTTTCTTCTTTTTGATAAGATTTGCTAGGGATTTATCAATTTTATTTATTCTTTCAAAGACCTGACTCTTTGATTCATTAACACTTCTTTGTATTGTTTTCTTAGTTTCAGTTGCATTAATTCCTGCTCTTACCTTTATCATTTTCTGCCATTTGTGAGCTTGGGCTTGACTTGCTTTTTTTTTCTAGAAATTTGACATGCTGCCTTACGTTGTTTATGTATGCTCTTTCAATTGTTTATAATGTGTTAGCTCAGTGCTATAAATTTCCCTCTGATGGCAGCTTTGATTGTGTCCCACAGGTTTCAATAACTTACATTTGCATTATTGTTTGACTGTAGGTTTTGTTTATATTTATTCTTTAATTTCTTCAATTGCCCAATGGTTGTTTAGGTGAGAATTATTTAGTTTCCATGTGTTTATGGGTTCATGTGGGGGCTTTTATGTCATTAATTTCCAATTTTATTGCCCTATGATCAGGTAGTATGAAAGCATGTTCTGTGGGCTACCATAGGGTCTATTTTAGAGAATGACCCGAGTGCAGCTGAGAAGAATGTGGATTGTGATGTTGTTGGCTAGAAAACTCTGTACCCATCTACTAGGTCCATTTTTTTTCAAAAGTTTGATTTACTTCTGTTATTTCTTTGCTGAGTTTTTGGTTGATCTGTCTCTTGGTGGCAATGGGGTGTTAATATACCTTGTTTATTTACTGTTTATTTGGTTTTTCTTGTCTATTAAAATTTGTCTTACAGACTCGGTTGCTCCCATATTTGGTGCTTATATATTTATGTTTGTAATCCTTTCCTCCTGAATTTCTCCTTAAGCAAGTATATAGTGACCATCTTTAACTCTTCTGATCATTCTTGGTTTGAATTTCACATTGTCTGCAAATAAAATAGCTACCACTGCTTTTTTTCCTGGGTGCCTTTTGCATGGAGTATAATTTTGTATCATTTGATTTTTTGTCTATGAATTTTGTTTTGAGTTAAATGTGTCTCTTATACACAGTGTTCAATTTTGTTCTTTAAACCCCTCTGCTGATCTGTTTTTTATTGGTGAGCTGAGAGCATTTACATTGTTGGATATAAGTGATAAGTACTGACCTATCACTGCCATGCTATCTTCCATTGCTGGTTTTCTACTTTTTCTTTTTAATTTTTTGTACTGCTTAGTGGTTTACTTTTGTTGTTGTTCTTGAGATTGTGATTATCTTTGTTTCTTTCCAGAGTGTCTTCCAGTACTGTTTGTAGTGTTGGTTTTCTGACCATGAATTTCTTGGTTTTTTTTTTTTCTTTTTTTTTTTTTGTCATGGAAGTATCTTTATTTCAAAGATAGTTATGTAGGATACATCAATCTGGGATGAAAGCTGTTTTCTGTTAGGACATGCAATATTTCATTCCAAGCTCTTCTTGACTTGAACATTTTGTTGAGAAGTTTGCCTTGATTCTGATGAGCTTTCCTTCATAGGTGATGTTTCTTTTCTCTGACAGCTTTTAGTATTCTTCTCTTGTGCTGAATTTCTGACATCCTAATTATTATAAGTGGGGGTGAAGATTTGTTTTGGGTATAACTAATTGGGGATCTATATGCCTCCCTGATCTGGATATCAGATTTTATTCTGTGATTGGAAATGTTCTGCTATTATTGCTGTAAATAGTCCTTTTATGTCATTTGTGCTGACCTGTGCTTCTGCATTGACACCTATCAGTATTATATCATTTCTCTTTGCATCATTATGAGCTGTTGAATTGTTCCCTGGTTCCTTGTTATTTTTAAGAG